TACAAATGTCCTCTACATTTGTAGGTTTCTACAACAGGCAGTTGCTGTCCATTTGAAACTTGGATTCATTATGAATACTCTGCCTAACCAACCTATCAAAGATTTTGTAAGAGTTGTTTTTTCACCCTGTTATGAAACATCTACACAGGCTTTACTCTCATGTTCCAAATAATAGTGCAGGGTGGAAAAATTCAGACTTCAAATTTAATTATCGTACAGGTCATAATCATAGTATGAAATTGAATTTTGTGTTTTTTGTTAAAGATGACAAAAAAAAATAATTATGCAGACCCAAATAAGCATCATGTAAAATGGATAATTTCTCCAAAATTAATAATCGTATAGATGCGGTTACTTGGAAAATGAGAGTTCAGGCTAAAATAAATTCAGAACCCTGAGAACTTATGCCTTTTACAAGATATGTTGCCCTGATTTGAGACCATGGTTTTAATTTGTTCAAAATATTACACAGATGTAATTTCAGATGGTAAGCTTTTAAAATCTTGGATTGGCTTAATACTTACTGGTTTTTTCTTTCACTTCTTAATTTATTTTCCAGATCCCCAAGAACTCAGTAAAGCAGTTATTGGAGGTACTGTTTCTTCTCAAGGAATGTCTATTCCACAACATCTGTAATTTTTCTTTTATTCCAACACCTTATAGTGTTTGAAGCAAACCAAGTCTAGCTAAGATTGTATGGTTTAATGATCTCTCATAATTGTATGATGCTACAAATGTTTTACATAAAATACAGCCTTATACATATTTTGACACCAAACAAAATTATAATTTATGTTACTAATGTTGGTTTTTCAATGTACTCAAGATGAGCTGTGATGTTGAACTATCACTGCACTATTAAAATAATATATTTCTTAAAAAATATAATGATGGATTTGTTATTTTTTTGAATTAATAAAGAAGCATTTGCATTGTTACTCAGTCATCTAAATATTAACAAGTCAAGGTGAGAAAGAAACTTAAAATTAAATCATAATAAGAAAAAACTAGAGTAAGTAAAAATAGGAAAGAAGCATTTAAAACCATGTTATCTACCTCAGTACTCTAGATAATTATGTCATATAATCTAGTGAAATGATGCTAGTTTAGTGATAAGCAGCTGTTTCTCCACAATTTCAGTATCACTGGTGTCACATACAATGTTGTTTGTTTTGAAAACAATAATCCTAGTACTTTTATTTATTCTCTTATTAGAATCCATTAGGGTAATTTGTTCAGAGATTGATCATGTGTTTCACCTGGTGTGTAATTCTACACTCATTCTTAGGAAGAGATAGAATCCAATGGAGAAGTTAATTTTGATAGTTCCAAACTTCCAGTTCACTAAGTCTACCAATTTCAATCTTATTATAACTTGCTTGACTAAGAACTAGTTGCTTTTGGAGAAGTTTCTTGGAAAAATAATTTTTATAAAAGTCTTTAATTTTCATATTTTTATATTTTTAAAGGTCGCAGGTTTGAATCCCTGTCCTCATTGGTAAAAGAGTTGGCAGTGGGTGGTGATGACTAGCTGCCTTCCCTCTAGTCTTTTCACTGTTAAATTAGGGACAGCTAGTGCAATGTTCCCTCTAAGTTGTTCAGTCCATGTGCAGAGTGAATTTTTTCATGTGAACCAGTATCAAGGCAATGTACAGATGTGCTCTACCAATTTTTTTTTTTTTTTTTTGGGGGGGGGGT